CAGCCTCTGCTTGGATTAATCAGCGGACCAGATCTATCACAAAACAGACGAAGTAGAGTTCATCTGCTTTCAACTGTATCAATGTTCAAACTAGCAATCGCAAGTTGCGTGAAAATGGCGCAACTGTTTGATCAAAGGAGTAGGCCTACTTTATTTAAGCCCAAGTGGAAGAAGACGCTTAAATCTTCTAAAAGATTGCCGATTAGGTTTCCACTTAACGCAATTATAACGGCTGATTATCGAAGGACGAGCAGGACACTATCTTAACATCTCTTTCACAAATAAAAAATCACCCCGATTCTTCATGATTATCGGTAATTTAATTTGGTACATTATTCTGTAATCGGGTAGGTCTGCTAGTTTTTTATTTTTTTTATTTAATTGATCTTTACTTAAATGAAATATGTGCGTGCATTAAATTATAATTAAACTTTATTGCAGGGGGGGGGGAGGAATTCTCAACACTTTAAACGCTTAATCTCGGCATGGAAATCTAATTATATCTGTGTGATGTTCGCCATGTGATTGGTTCTTCAGCTGCTGATAAAATTATTAACCCTTTAATTGCTGGCGTGACGTTTGGCTGATGATATTTAAACTTTGCCATTACGTGATTGGTTGAAATAAATGTGACCATGTGACTAGACTTGGGTCTAGTCTGCTGGATTCAATCCGCTTTTTCAAATTTTAAAAAAGTTTTAATTGCAAAGAAAAATCTAATTAAAGAAGTTATGTGTAATAGTTTAATACAACATATCAGTCAATTTTTTTACTTATTAATTTACAAAAAAAAAATATTATTATGTGAACGTTAAAACTAGATATGGATTTCTTGTTCTTCTGCGTTCTTAATTTTAATGTTGGAAGAGATTCCATCCAACACAGTTAAGTATACGTGTCAACTGACAACTGGTTATGCGCCATTCGTTGACTCCAATTTCAGCCTGCTTTTCTTTTTTGGATTTGCTTCCATAATGTTTGTGCTACAAGAACAAACTACAAGGCAGCAGTTTGTTTGATTTTGGAGTTGTCCTCTCCTAGAAGAGTGGCTGTCCCCAGCTAACGAGCCTCATTTGCCGAGGCTTTACCGACTTGACCCCGCCGACCCCCGCATCTACATTTATAAACAGAGTTTCTTCCAGGCATCTCTTCGGGGGGGGGGGGCGAAGCCCCCCCCCCCGAAAATTTTTTACCGCCCCCCCCCCCCCCCCGAACGAAATGAAATTTATATAATTTATATAGAAAATATATACTTTTAACAGTGTCCGCCCCCCCCCCCGAAGAAAGTTTACCGCCTCCCCCGAAGATTTCAAGTGCCCCCCCCCCGGAGAAAAAAGTCTGGAAGAAACACTGTTTATAAAGGAAGGGTTTATGTTGGTGTTTAGCCTATACGGTTTTCGAAAAACATTTTTTTTAAATTGAGGGAGCGGGGTGGAGAGGGGGGGGGGGAATTTAAAGTTATATGGAATCTTTAGGCTGTCTGATGATACCTTTTGTGACATACATCTGCTAGGCTGTTTACATTCCAAGATTATTTGCAGCACTTTTGGCTTTTATAGGCCTCTGTGAGCGATGAAACCCAGAAACAGACTTCCGTAACGGCGACTCGTTCAGTAGTGTGTATTCTTTCTTTTGGTGTAGTGCATTTAGAGTGTTCAAAAATATCAAGTCGCCTTCCTCCCCCCCCCCCGGAGAAAAAAGTTTGGAAGAAACACTGGTTATGTTTCTGATTGTTTGTTTTTTTTTTTTTTAATATTTTTTAATCTGCTTGTGGTTTCTGTAATGAAATAGTTGGTTATTGTTGAACTTGTCGCAATGGAAATTATTTTTGGCATATTTTTTTTCTCAAGTCAGCTATACAAACGTGTCTGTAGAGTTGATATTTGTCCAGGTTGTGATTTGTTTTATTTATTTTATTGTTCAGTATGTCCATAGTTCTTAGTTGTTTAAGTTAACGCTGAGTCGCCTGTGTGGTTTTAACCTGATATACTAAATTTGTGTTTATAATCGAAATTAATTTATTAATTTTTTAACACTATTATTTTCAAATATAAATAACTACATCAGCTTTTACAAACGCGTTAGCCTGTAATATAATTCAAACATTTACGAAAATTATCTTTTACATGAAAAAAATGGTGAACATTACCAAACAATAATGTGTCGATTAACAATTCAAATGAAAGCAATTAGAAATAAAGAAATACAGAAATGATGTTTTTACCATGATAGTCTTGAAAGTTTTTACAGTTTTGTAGGGAATTTGTTACAATAAAAAACAGCTAAATTTATTGTTGTGTGATTGTAGAAGCTATTGTAGATCAAAGGCTTACTCCCACAGATTACTTAATTAAATTAAATTTTTGTTTCTCTACAAAATATGTATCTAATTATGTTCAAACTTTCATGTTTAAACTACAGCACAGTAATAATCCTAAAATTCCAAATGTATAAACATCAGGATACATTTCTATAAAATGTTAGCATTTAAATTTGACAAATTATTATTTTTTAATAATTTTGTTTTATTCTATTTACGATTGAATTTCCCTCTATTTTTAGTGTCCCTGTGTGGACAATTTTACATGCTGCTTCCCTTGATTGTTTTCAAAACAGAAATGGGAAGTAAGTATGAAATAGAAGATTACTTTCAACGCTTTGCAACGATAACCATTTTTAACTCTGAAGCATATTGATTATTGCATACAAACATAAACTAGAGTTTCTTCCAGGCATCTCTTCGAAAGTCAAACGCCCCCCCCCCCCAAACGAAATGTAATTTGTATACAAAACATATTCTTTGCCTGTGTCCGTCCGCCCGGAAAATGTTGTCCGCCCCCCCCCCCCCCCAAATTATCAAGTGCCCCCCCCCCCCCCCGGAGAAAAAAGTCTGGAAGAAACACTGACATAAACTATCTATATATCAGTATTTGTAGGCGTGTTTATGTGTGTATGCATGCATGTATGCATGCGTGGGAATGTGGGTGAGTGCGTGCGCAAGTCCGCTTGTGTGTGCGTGAATGGGTGTGTTATTAACAGACAGAATAATAATAATATTGCATTGCCACGTGATCAGTGTCACGGTCATAGTAAGAATGACAACAAGAATATAAATTATATCAAGGTCTAATACATGAAACTACATAAGTTTAAAATAATTAGTTCATTTAAAATAAAGGAACTACGACTAACAGAGATTTGAAAAAAAGGTATACGTTTTTATTTTAACAAAGGACTAATGAGTACCATTAAAATTGGCAGCAAACTATAAAGCTAGACTGCGCGCTAATCGGCGCCGCGAAAAGACGGAATTCGACTGCATCGAAAGCAGAGACGTAGCGACGGGGGTGGGGGGGGGGGGGGGGGGGTACATATGTCCCCGGACGCCGACCCCAAAGGCGTCAAAATAAGCTCATTTTAGCTGCTATTTTGAATTATAAATATAAAAAATATATGGGGGGGGGGGCAAAATTGAAAGTTTGTCACCGGGCGCCGGGAGGGGTCGCTACGCCTCTGAGCGGAGGGTCCGACTGTGTGGGAACTGACCTTACTGAAGCAGTAGCCCAAGGGTTAGGGTTCAAAATGACATTGACTGTTATCTTCTCTGGGCGGAACATGTCAACACTGAAAGCCATCATTTCGCAGGGAGGGTTGTGCCTGTTTATCAACAGCTTAAGCAAATTAAACAAGAGTTAACAATGTGTTGATGTCTATGGCAAAACTAAAAATCAGCCGCAATTTGCTAAGTGATTTTAACCATCGCCCACAGTTTCTTTTAGGCATCTCTTCGTGTATCCCCTCCCCCCTCACCCGAATGAAATAGGATTTACATGCAAAATATAGACTTCAGTGTCGTCGCCCGCCCCCCCCCCCCCCCCTGGACATTTAAATACGCCCCGAACCCTCCGTAGGTTTCAAGTGCCCAACCCTGTAACATGTTGGTAATCCAACACGATATTGAAATGTTGCATGTTGTTCAGTTAGATGGAATTTTGGGGAGGTGGCGACAGCTTTCAGGTCTGTGTAGGCGGAGGGAGGGAATTTATCTGTTAACTGAGTGGGGTGAAGGGGGCACGTCTTTCCACCCCCCCCCCCCCTTTCACACAGACAAAATAGATTTTACAATTGTTATAAAATATATACTTTTACTGACGCTCTTTTGTTAAAATATTATGAGTTATTTAAAATATAACAATAATATTCCCTATGTTTTAAAAATATAATATTTTATGTAAGTTATTGGGCTTCAGCTTAAAATCTAAAGTGCATAGGCCTACTAACCCAAAATATAAATCAGAGCCAATATTTCTTTCCGGCACCTATCCTCCGCCCCCCAGAGTTTCTTCCAAGCATCTCTTCGGGGGGGGGGGGGGGTGAAAAAATTCTACGGCCCCCCCCCCCCCGGAGAAAAAAGTCTGGCAGTAGCGTAGCGAGGAGGGGGGGGGCGGGGGGGAAATATGACCTTAGGGGGCGCCAAAATGGGTTGGAAAAATTGAAAGGTTGAGGGGGGGTGAAAATCAAAAATTTGAGGGGGGGGTGCAAATGGAAATCTCGAGGGGGGGGGGGGGGGGAGGTACAAATCGAAAGTTTGAGGGGGGTGCTAATCGAAATCTCGAGGGGGGGGGGGGGTGGTGCAAATCGAAAAGTTTGTCCCCGGGCGCCGGGAAGGGTCGCTACGCCTCTGAAGTCTGGAAGAAACACTGCCGCCCCCCCCCCCCCCCCTCTCTCATTCCTTAACCTCCTGGGAGAATAATTCTGAAGGAAACGTTGATCGTTTCCCCTTTCTGAGCAAATACCCCCGTACTTATATAGCATACTAATGATAATGTACGAACTTCATTTCGTAACAAATCTTAATAAAGCAGGCCTAGATCTAATTTTAACACGAGCTTAATTTATTTTTCAACATCAAGATTCAATACTAATAGCCTTAACTAATGTTGGTCATTTTTTTTTAAATAGAAATATTCGAGTGACATCCCCTAGCCCGTTTTCAGAAATCTTCAATGATGAAAAGCATATTTGAACCACGCCAGCGAAAAATTTAAAATGAGTCAACAAAAAAGGTAAATAAAATTAAATTGGATCTAGATCTAGATCTAGACTTACTAGATTCTGCATAGATTCGAGAAGATCTAAATCTAGAATTAAAGACGTTATAAGAATTTATGGTAAAACTCCATTTTAGTGTAGGAGTGTAGATTCTATTTTATTTCCCGCTTCACGTTCACCTCCAGTTGCTGTTGCCGCGTTGCGCGTAGCTGCCGTAGACGAAACACTGGACTGAACAGTACACACAAATTCTTAAGGAATTTTAGTTTTTGATAATTTACGTTTGTCAAAACTTGAGAAAAATCCAAAGTTGGAATCATTGAATGTGCACTATTTGTATCTAGATCTAGATTCTAGACTTAGTTCTAGCTTTTTTTTTACCAAAATGACTAGCCTACTCACTCGGAAAAAGATTTTTCTCGCCCCAACGTCTCCACCTAGTCGGCAAAAGATAGTGCTGCACATGCACAGTGACCTATGGCTAGGGTTATGGTTAGGGATAGGGTTAGGGCTAGTATTAGGGTTAGGGCTAGGGTTCTGCGGTTGTAAACGGGTGTGGGGAAATTGCGAGACGCGTAAAGCGAAATGGCGAGGCGGGGAAAATGCGAGAAGGGCGCGAAAACGGTCGGTCACGTGACTTTTTGTCTCGCATTTTACCACAACCCGATACTTACGCTGGGTGGTGTTGAAATGCGAAGATTTCCGCGAAAAATTTACCGCACCCGATTTTGTGTGGTATTTGGTCCACACTTCAAAGACGTTTTGTTTACATTGTTAAAAGTTCCGATTTTTCCGTCGCTAGACATACTGATGATTTGTCAACTCCCCCCATCTTTTATGTCGACTTAGAATACCACGTTGTTCGAAACCGACGGAAATACCGCCGACAATAGATCAACTTCTGTGTTTTGTGCGGAATGCCAAGGCCGCCTGATTTACCGTCTTTGAAGATCACAGTGCCCGAATCCGCTGCCACCGCAAACATATTTTGTATTGTTGCATAGAAATGTTTTATGAGGAGGAAGGTGGGGGGGGGGGGGTTAGATACTGTGACGTCACACTATAAAAAAGCAATGTTACAAAAAGAATTTTAGACGATATTTCGCGTTTTAAAAAACTGTTTCAATAAATTGTAATAGGAATTGATTAAAATACTCTATTTGGACAGAAATTAGACAAGATTTTGAAAAAATATCGATGTTTTAAAAAAAAAAGTCAACTGCAATTTTGAAGGGGGTTGTAGGCTGAGGTGTGATGTCATTTTAGTGGGGGGGGGGCTCTGGATTTTTGTGAAATTGTGTGACCCATGGGAGGGGGGGGGGGGGGAAATCGTCAAAGAAGCATGACATCATTTATGGATGACCCCTTTTAGCTATTAAATGGTAGTTTTGTCAATAGCGGACTTTATTCAGATTATCTACAAACGCACATTTTTTTTTCCATTCTGTTCATAGATATTCGTGTTCTGTGTTAGCGCAGTATAAATGGGAGTCTAATGAACTGCAGGGTTCCTGCGGCCTCCTGAAATTCCAGGATGTCCTGGAATTCTCCTGGAATTTCAAAAAACCAGAAAAGTCCTGGAATTCTCCTGGAATTTTAACATTTCTCCTGGAATTTTGTAATATGTCCTGGAATTTTACGCGCATCGATAGTTTTAGTGAATATTTTTTTCGCGCTTATATTTCGAGGTGATCAGATCTGACCGCCCCAGTAAAAATGTTCTGCCTTTTCAATTCTTCGCATTACAAGGCACACATTTTAAAATATAGACCTAAAGCTGTCTTTAACTTGTGGGTTTGGTTTAATTTTTTTTCTCACGTCTTTCTATGTGTGCGGCTCTGTTTAATAGGCCTGACTTTTTTTTTAAATTGGAAATTTCTAGTAGGCCTAGGCCAAAATCTAGTTTTTGCGCAGCTAATTTGAATCTACAGTCCGATAGGCCCTAGATCTACCTTCTATTTTTACATGCATGTTGTAATACTACCACCCTCCCATCCGGCATCTCAGTTTCTTTCCCACGACAGGGTGGGGGAGGGGGGGACAGCTGGTTGGGTATATGAAGTGAACTCTGTGTGACCCGCTAGTGATGTCATCAGCAGTATAATACAGGCCAACTGTAAGCTTAGATGAACTCAAACTGACAGTGATGTCATCAGCAGTATACTACAGGCCAACCGTAAGCTTAGATCAACTCAAACTGACAGTGATGTCATCAGCAGTATACTACAGGCCAACTGTAAGCTTAGATGAACTCAAACTGACAGTGATGTCATCAGCAGTATACTACAGGCCAACCGTAAGCTTAGATCAACTCAAACTGACAGTGATGTCATCAGCAGTATACTACAGGCCAACTGTAAGCTCAGATGAACTCAAACTGACCCCGCGCGACGGTGTCTAGCTGGAGGAAAAAAATACGCTACCGGCAAAAAATAAAAATAAAACAACTATCTGAAATTCTATTTTTGGCTGAAATATTTTAAATTTTTCAAGTATTAGGGGGTCGTCCATTAATGACATCACACTCGAAGGGGGGGGGGGGTCCGTAATTTTGTGACGGTGTGTGTTGAGGGGGGGTTCAGATGGTGGGACGTCACACTTTTGCATCATAAAAAAGCAATGTTAGAAAATGAATTTTAGCCGTTATTTCGCGTTTTAGAAAACTGTTTTAATAAATTGCAATAGGAATTGATCAAAATACTCTATGTGGACGGCTTTCTGACAAGATTTTGGAAAAATATCGATGTTTTAAGAAAAAATCAACATCAGTTTTGAGAGGGGTTGTAGGCAGAGGTGTGACGTCATTTTAGGGGGGGGGGTCTGGCTTTTTGTGACGACGTGTGCCAGAGGGGGTGTAAAAATCGTCCAAAAAAGCGCAACGTCATTTATGCCTTTATTTCCAAAATACAGTTTATTTTTAGTAGGACAAATCTAAGCTTCTCAGGTTGATCTACTTGTTCATCAAATGATAAAAAGTTAAAATTACAGTTAGGCTATTTAGCCTACTGTTGAAGACTCCCATTTAAATCACAATGCCATGTCCATTTTTACAAGACAAGACATGGTTTCAGCTGTTCTGTTTGTTTATAATTGACATTGTTAGTATGGGGGCTGACATTGGTGAGGGGTTGAGGGTGGGAAATTTATGAGATGAATTTGTGACAACAGGCCTTAGAACTGGTGCTGGGGAGGGGGGGTTTATAAACAGGCTTAATTTATGGACAGTGAGTAGTTTAAGAAAAGTGTCACATTTATATATTTAAGTACAAAGATAAAAATTGTTACAGGATAGTGACTGGTAAAAAGTGCCACCAAATTTTCCAAGGGGGGGGGGGGGGAGAGAGAAAGGAGAGATAGCAATTTTATAAATAACAATTTATAAATGGGAGGGGTGGGGTGCAAAATTGAATCTACTTTAAACTAAATGGTTTAGAAACAGTTACTTTTAAAAATTACAAATGTTATGCTACATAGCATTTTATAAAGACCACTTCCTATTTAAGAAATGTCCAACTCCCTTCCATTCAGCGCGGGGTTGAGTCGTTGTTGCTTTTTAAGAGGTTAAGTTATGTCCTGGAATTTTGGTTTTTCTCCTGGAAAACTGCTGGAATTCTCCTGGAATTTCAAGTTCACTTTGGTGTAGGAACCCTGGAACTGGGTTGGATGCACTATGTGTGAAAGATGGTGTCACGAGGTGTGTTTGAGTAGTGCTAGGACTGTGTCAGAAGATTGTGTTTGTAAATTTTGTTTGTAATTAAAATTAATAAATTGCACTTTTTAGAATTGTTTATACTTTTACACTTTTTGCAAGTACAAAAATCCAAAAATACATGTTGCAGAATATCTCTCCTGCTGACAAGATTAAACCAATTCACAATGAAACAGCTCACGTTTGTATAAACATGAGCGGGCTAGATTTTTAAAATTAATGCCGACTGAGACGGGATTTTCCTCTCGCTAACGAGAGCAGGCGATGACAGTAGCACAGCAGCGATGTTAGGATTTTTAAATAAATAGATCTAGATATAGATCTATCTATCTTCTTAGTATCTATCTATCTATATAATAAAATCTTGATAAAAAATAACACACAACACTCGTGTTAAAGGTTATGGCTAAATGCTTGTTTATTTTAAAACAAAACAAAAATAATTTAAATAAATAAAGATGAAAAAAGCATGAAAAAACTTTTTTTTCGCAAAAAGTGTCTCGCTATTTACCCTTAATTCCGCAGGTATGTCTCGCATTATCTTCTCGCATTTTCCCGCCTCGCCATTTTGCTTTTCGCGTCTCGCAATCTCTCAGCACCCGTTGTAAACACATGCAGTGACGCATGCGCAATACCATCGAAAACATCGTAGCGAAGCAAGACGTAGTTTCTCTCAATTGCGCATGTGTATCTTTTTCCAGCTAGCATCTGACTTTTTTTTACTCTTGAAAATATGTTTGTGTCTAAGATTTCCATGGCGATGGGTAAAGTACCAAACTCATACTAGGTGGTTAAGTTTGTATTGTTAAAATAAAATGATCTCGAATACATGATACTATAAATAAACTTATATGAATTCACAATGACCCCAAAACTGAGGCCACCACAATTTCAAATAGCAATTGCCAAGCTATCACTCACAACTTTGTGATAATTATTAAAGTCAATGTGAACTTACGGTGAACCCTCGACTATGTAGAATTGTAGAGTGTTGAGATTTTTCTCAAGCCAACAATCACAGGCTATTTTATTGGAACTGTGCTTATTTATAATATTTTTTACCATTTCTAACACACATTTAGAAAAAAAATAAGTAGATCTAGATCTAGGCTTAATCCTAGTGTTTTTTTAATGTTTTTGTGTGTTTTGGCTTCGGTCGTGTTTAGGTCCTATTGATCCCGTTAAGGGGGGAGGGGTTGACACCAAGGCAAAAAATTACAAAATGTACAGAAGAAAAATGCCTTATTGCGAGATCCATTAGTTATTAATTAAGTTAAATAAACTTTTAAATACAAATCGACAATTATTACAAGAGGGGAGGGGGTCCATGATGTAAACGTGCTAACTATAAAGAAAACAATGCTACATCCAACAGACTACAGATAAGCATCATTACTATTAAGTCTGAAGTGATTGGGCTTATACATATACGTGTATGTGGCATTTAAATTATAGGCCTATGTTAGCCTACACACACATATATTATATATAATTTGTTTCTCGAGGGGGGGGGGGGTGACACCACAAAGTGTCACACTGGGTGACACCCAACCTAGATAGTAACACTAACTCACTAACACAACTTAGGTCTTATGTGTTCACTGTGTTAGTCAGTGCTTTCAACGCTGATAACACAGTGTAATTAGTAATACTAATTTCAGTGTGAGAAGAAACTCCATAATAGTGTATTTTTTTTTATTCACAGCTTCACGTGTTATGCCCTTGTTATAGCTTTTTTTAGAGTTAGTTCAGATATTTTAGTAGTTAGGCCTATTACTCGGGCCTACTTTTTATTGGGTTTGAATTTTGTTAGCTTATTAATTATCAGCTTTTCTTTGATAAAACATAGTGATAAGTAATTTGTATCTCATTTATTCACAGTACCAGCATAAAGGATATATTGAACGCCCTCACACAAGCTGAGAAGGCATTACTAGATGAATTACAACTGGAGAAAAAGATTGCCAAGACTGAAATATTAAGTGAGTAATTCCTTCATTTAATGTTAATTTAAAACACCTCTCTCTTAAGTTAAGAACTGAGTGAGAACTATATATTCACTGTACTGTTTAAATCATGCTGATCATGAACAGCTTTTTAGATGACATTATTTTAACATGATTTTTAAAAATGTGTATACAGAAGTTGTTTTGCCTTTCTTCAATAATATATTTCAGGTATATTTATTTTGTGTCAAATTACCGTTGATTTAAAGAGATTGAAATATTTTTATAATTGATAATTAATTGCTTTCTTAACCCTTTATGTGTGCCTTTTTTTTTCACTATTAGGTTTGATGCTGCTTTTTAAAATTCAGGTGTTTATTGCATTTTAATTAAAAGTAATGCAACAATATGCATACATTTTTCTTTCTGATGTAGGCCTATGTTTTGCTTTAATTTTTAAATGTACTATTTTTTTCTTCTTTAAATTAATTATTCCAAGCGTCGTTAAAAAATGAATTATGTCCCTTTGTTTGGTCCTACACAAAAATAAAATTCAGATCTCCAATGTAAATGGTTAAGAAATAGGTAGGTCTGGTAAGTCATAGCAGGTTGGGCGAACTAATGAGAGCAATTTGGCAGAAAAGTGAGTCCTTGTTCACCAGGTGGTACCATTAACCTATTTCTACACAGCATCATAAACACTATTGCAGCACTTGGGTCAACTGTGTACCTTGAGTTTAATAAATTTTCACAATTGTATAAACTTGATGAATTTATTAAAAAGAATATTAAAGTTCATTCAAAAATGTTATTAGCAGTAAAAATGTGTATGCATTCAGTGAAAACACTTACTATATATATATCAACTTTAAATAATTAATTTATAACTACTTAAATAATTATAGTATACTTATCACTGGTGTGCCTTAAAAAAAACCTATGACAAGGGAAGCAAAACTATTCCATTGCCATAGAAGTTTATTTCATTTGCCTCTTTCAGTGGTTCTTAACCTTATGAGGTAAATAACCCCACCAATTTCATTTGCACATTCACCGAACCTTTTGCCCCGCTCTGACAAAACCCAATCATGAATGAAATGTTTCACGTTTATCTCGACCTCCGCCAAACCACTGAGACTGATAGTGATTCACCAACCCCCTGGGGTTCTATAGAACCTAAGTTAAGAACCACTGGCCTATTTTATAACCATCTCGTGAGTTCACTTATTCAATTACATTTCAATTAATTTTTTGTTTGCCTTTCTGTATAATTTTTTTTTCTCCAGGTCTTAGCAATGAACTGGCATCCCTGTCAGACTCTGATGACAAAGCTGTGTTGGAAGAGGCAGAGAAGAACAAAGCTGAGTTGAGCAAGTTGGAGGGACCTCTAGCTCAGTCGGCTGCCGAGGTGGCCAGACTCAAGGAGCAGGTGGAGGAAGCAAAGGAGACTTTAAAAAATATGGCTCAGCAACACAAGGACAACAGAGCTTATCCAAGCGCTAGGTACAGTTTTCACATTTTGTAAATAAACCACAAGGGTATAGAAATTGCACGATATTATATTGCTGGCATTGATTTTTTTTTTTAATTATTAAAAAAATAACAGCTTCTTTATATAAAATTTTTGGATGAAGTTTGGCATTAACCCTGTGTTCCACTGTGCAAGTGTGGTATTAAACCTATACTCAACATTGCTCTTTTTTAGTTGTTGATGGTTGTGATTTCAAGCCCACACTTAATGCTTAATTTTTTTATTTGATTTTTTTGTAATCAAGTTTCTAAAAAACATTTGAACTCTTTTAAATTATTAATAATTGATGCATATTTTTTTTTCGAATTCTAATTTCTAAAATTTGTGTCTTCATGTTTTCTTGAAGTAGCTTCATGTGAATAAATGATTTCCATTCTTGAACTTACAAAATTTAAAAAATATTATGCAAAGATGTTTACTTTCATCATGAACATATTTATTTTCTTAAGCTTTCTTTGACTTATTTTGTTTTATCAATATTTTAATTCAGCCTGATTAGAGATTAACATTTTTCTTTAAGGTATGCAGTTAATCTTTACCGTGAGATAAGCAAGATTACATGGCAAATTGATGATGGAAAACCCCATGAGATCAAAGGCTGTATCCTTTACTTAACATTTGTTGTTACTTTTTTTTTTCAATCTTATAATATTTGTATATAACAACAGTGTTATAATATTGAATCCTTTGCTATGTAACAATAGTGTTACAATATTCTAACCTTCACTATGTAACAATAGTGTTCTAATATTCTAACCTTCACTATGTAACAATAGTGTTACAATATTCAAACCTTCCCTATGTAACAATAGTATTCTAATATTCTAACCTTCACTATGTAACAATAGTGTCCTAATATTCTAACCTTCACTATGTAACAATAGTGTCCTAATATTCTAACCTTCACTATGTAACAATAGTGTTACAATATTCAAACCTTCACTATGTAACAATAGTGTTACAATATTCAAACCTTCACTATGTAACAATAGTGTTCTAATATTCAATCCTTCGCTATGTAACAATAGTGTTACAATATTAAATACTTCACTATGTAACAATAGTGTTACAATATTCAAACCTTCCCTATGTAACAATAGTATTCTAATATTCTAACCTTCCCTATGTAACAATAGTATTCTAATATTCTAACCTTCACTATGTAACAATAGTATTCTAATATTCTAACCTTCACTATGTAACAATAGTGTTACAATATTCAAACCTTCACTATGTAACAATAGTGTCCTAATATTCTAACCTTCACTATGTAACAATAGTGTTACAATATTCAAACCTTCACTATGTAACAATAGTGTTACAATATTCTAACCTTCACTATGTAACAATAGTGTTACAATATTCATACCTTCACTATATAACAATAGTGTTACAATATTCAAACCTTCACTATAAAACAATAGTGTTACAATATTCTAACCTTCACTATGTAACAATAGTGTTACAATATTCATACCTTCACTATATAACAATAGTGTTACAATATTCAAACCTTCACTATAAAACAATAGTGTTACAATATTCTAACCTTCACTATGTAACAATAGTGTTCGGACATTCAATCCTCTTTAAAAGCCATGCCCAAGTCTTTAAAGGCCTTAATAATTTCTCTAACTAATGTACCAGAAAATAAGACCAGTATTCTTTTGACAGTCTGAACATTTTTTTAACTTCTCCATTACATGGTCCTCACACTGTTTACAATTAAGATTTGGAACTACTATTGTGTATGAACATAGGGATACATCTACAGCATTCTATTATTACCAAACTAAGCTTTAGAATTACTTTTATCTGAAGACTATAGTTCAATCACTTCAACAATTTCACTACAAACAAACACACTATTATCCCTTTGTATACAAACATTGTTTAGTATTCACCTTAACAGACATGCCAGTTTCACTACAAACAAACACACTATTATCCCTTTGTATACAAACATTGTCTAGTATTCCCCTTAACAGAAATGCCAGTTGTTTCAAGCAGGAAATCAGGTGTGAAGTCCTTTTGCTTTGACTCACAGAAACAGTCCCAGTTTTTTATCACCAACTCTCTGTGGGATTTGGCGAAGGATGAGGACTCTTGGTAACCATGGTTACCAGCTGCTTATGGTTTGAACTGGAGCTGTTTCTTTTGTTGATCAAGATACTGCCATTGTTTATGTGCCTTCTACAAGTTGCAGCACTGGTTGGGAGTCATCATTTGGGGTGGGGTGGGGGGTTAAGATTCAGTAGAGAGAATGCCTTTATTGACCATTTATTGTTTTATTTTTGTGCAATGTAACTGTCTTATTGATAATTAAAGAAAGTAAAAATGGCTGGGCATTCTGCTGAACACACTATCCCTTCATAAGCCTAGGTCACAGAAACAAGTGGACTCTACTTCACTTGCCCTATGGACAGTCAAGTTCCAAAATGGAACTTTACTGTCTTATTAAAATTGAAAGTCCGTTTTTTAATATAGGGTTAAATGTTTTATTAAGCAATGTACATAGTGCTCATTACAATTATCAAATAAATGTAACTCTTAAATATTTAAATTAAATTTACATCTGTAATTGTATTTCTTTGTTTATTCGACATAATTCACCTGATACCTTCACCCACACATATGGGACATAATGAAGTAGAGTTCATTATTACAACAGCATATAAATAGAATCTGTGGACACAGAGTTTCTTCCAGGCATCTCTTCGGGAAGGGGAAGCCCCCCCCCCCCCCCCCGAACAAAATGAAATTTATATAATTTATATAGAAAATATATACTTTTAACAGTGTCCGCCCCCCCCCCCCCGAAAATTTCAAGTGCCCCCCCCCCCCCCCCCCCCCCCCCCCCCCGGAGAAAAAAGTCTGGAAGAAACACTGTGTGGACACCAGGCCAAGTTGCTGTTACTTTACCCAACTAATGCTAGGTACCCATCTGAACTGAATGGACGGAAATCACCTCATGACTTAATCCCAGAAATGACTCCCATACACTTTTTTCCATAAGCAAACACACTGTCCCTTCAAGTATATTTTTTATTTATTGTATTGCTGACACAATATTTTTACATGGCCAAATGAAATGAAAATGATAAATTTTTCTGTTTTTAATACACCTGTGCCTAGGTAAAAGAATCCTGTTTATTCTAGCATTAATTTTTAGTAAGCCATTCAGTGTTACCATCATAATTGTTGCCAGAGATTTTTGTTTTTTTTTGTCAATTGTTTAAAATATCAAGTTATTTAAAAAGTAAAACAATGTATAACTAGCATGGTCACATAATTGCAGTTCAGTCCTCACTATTTGAATCTGATCTGTATTGTTAATGTAAATAAAGAGCTAAATTGTATAATCATGTGCTACCATTTAACAGTTTATGGTCTCTGGATTATGTTGTTCTGTATGTGCTAAATTTAATGCTTCCTAGAGTTTATCGTCCATGAAATTACCAACCACTCTTTTAGATTGCAAATTGATGTTTTAAAAATGATGAAATATTGGTTCTGTAATTACTATTTTATTTTAAAGTTTTGGTATTTTAAAAACTGTACATTTCAGTCATCTTTTATGTTCATTTAATATAAAAGAACTTTTATCCACTATTAATTTAATACTTCAGTAACATTCTCTTTCCACTGGATAGATTATTTTAACTATTTCTTGGTTTGGCATGTCAAAGGGAGGCTATTCTTTCGTTACTTTGTTGCAATAGAATTTACTCGATTATCGTTGCTTGAATAGGTTTCCCTGAAGCTAGTTGAGGTCACTGTACGTTTACTAAACCTGCTTTGCATTTATTATTTCTATTTAATTATTTTTGTACATTTTTTAGCGCAATTTCCATTCTGGAGAATTGCGTTTATTAACTCGTCATTTCTGTGAATGGATGGATGAATGTATGGATGTATGAATGTATGGATGAATGTGTGTCCGGGCTTTAAGTCGTATCTCCTCCCCAACGAAGCAATATCGATGACTAGTTCCAAAAGCAATTATGTTAAGCAAGTTACGAGGATGAACATAGGCCATAAAAATTCCGGGTTTCTTTCATGGATTTCCCGGAAAAGCCAAAAAACCTCGAAAAAATGCAGTTTTTGGCCCATATCTCGGCAACCAGACCACTAAGCGACTTGAAACATGTACCAATCGATTCCTGCCATAATTTAGAACAATATTGCCGAAGAAAGTTTTCAAAAATATCCTTTCGTTCGGTCACAAAAAGAATTTTGAATTAATTAAAATTTGGACCGAATTAGTAGGCATTTTTTCCAACCACACCACACGCGTCATCACGTTCAATAGCTGCGCCATCGCGTTCCATGGCTGCGCCATCACGTTCAGTAGGCGCGCAATGGTTTTTAGTCATGTAACTCTATTGTAAATAAAACATGTAAAATACTGAAAAAAATTAATAAAAAACGTTTTAATAACTAACCGATGGTTTTACTAACCCTGCTCTTGATTTACGCTACGACAGAGCTATTTTTAGATAACATAAGGAAATTGCGCTAAAATTGTCACTAGACTTTTTAATTACCTTGTTTCCAATGTTTTAATACCATTGGTGTTGATAAGCCCGTAAATTTTAAGACTTTACTTATTGTGATTACTATTAACATAATTTTATGTAACCCGATGTTACTGACATGTATAAAGTCTCAAAATTATATTTTAATATTTGTTTATCCATGTAAATCTGTGTATAGTAGCTGTCAAGTCAGTCGCCTTATTCTTACCATCTGTCGAATCAGCGCATGCGCGAACACACGTGACAATAGAGTTCAATATAAGTAGCCATCACAAGAAATTTTTTCCCTATGTAGCTTCTCTAAGTTATCACGATCTGAATATCGATCTGATAAATCAATATTGGTTTGTAAAGAGGTAAGGCGAACATCCTAGTAGGCTCAGAGCGATGACACCTCTTGACTTAGTATACAAGGTCAACGATCTGCAGGGTGAATACACCTACCAACACACACCAGGAGGCGATATTACACAAATATCAAACAAATGTAAGGAACTTGTTAATAATGTGTTACTGGTTACAATATTTGTTAGATAGTATCTATAAACGATGTCAGCCTCGATTTTGGGACGAATTTTCTCACCCTTCCCCCCTCACTACCCCCAGGGTTATAAAAGGCCAGACATCTGCCCTCACGCCACAATCTCCCCCGCCCCTCTCCAAAAATTGCAGGTTTTTTTTTAAACGTTTAGGAACGATGTATTGCTAACCCGGAACTCTCGAGTTCGATTCCACCCACACCGACTGGTAAACTTTTAATCAGGGAAATTAAAGGTTTTGTAAAGCAAAGCTTTGAACACAATCTTGTTATCAATGTTTCTTTCATACACCTCTTGTGGGGGGTAGGGGGGTGTCCCTGCATCTCCCCCTTCGGACAAAATAGAAAAATATATAGAAATTTTATAGAAAATATAGGGTGTATGTCTCGGGAATTTGTGTGCGTGTGTATGTCTCGGGAATTTAAATGTACCGCTGCCCTCTCCACCCTCCAAAAGAAACATGTCTGAAAGAAACACTGCTAACAGGATGTCGTGTACGAAGCACCTGTCCTATTGACGGTTAGGTCATACGTTGTCAACATCACCTTCAGTTGTTAATACGTGAATATTTCTGGATCTGTGATTGTTCAGAGAAATTATACAGTGGCTGTGTTATTTTATTTCTCCCTTATTCTATTCTCTCCCCTTCCACCCCCACCCCCCCTCAATCATTAAAAGCTCTTGTCTTTCAATTAACCTTAAGGTGAAGTAAATGACTCTATTTGTCTCTTTGTGCGAAAAGGTGGATATGAATCACAAACCTGACACCCCTATTGTGGAGCGCAGCAACCATATTTTACATAAAGCTGACGATCCTACTTTAGTATAATGGGGGATATCAGCGTCTCATTCAGGCGGGACCAGCTGTTGTACAGAAGCCAATATTAACCCATTGTGTTGTACGATTATCTACACATCTCGGAGACGATACAAAATGGTATCGATATTTTTATTTTAACTATTTCTGATATAAAAAGATTAGATTATTCTGTTTATTAATATTTCATGAAAACAAAGTATTTAGAATCATCTGTTTATACTAAACACAACGCAAACACCTAAAGTGTAGACAAGGCAGCTTCATCAAAGTTGTATAAAGGTCACTAATAATTTTCCCTCAAATATCTAACTCCATTTTCTCCAGAGTTTCTTCCGCGCATTTCTTCGGAGGTGATAAGACCCCCCCCCCCCTGAAGAAAGTCTACCGCCTCCCCCCAATTAAATGTAATTTAAATTGAAAATATATACGTTTAGCAGTGTTCGCCCCCCCCCCCCGGAGAAAAAAGTCTGGAAGAAACAACACTGATTCTCTCACACTTTCTCCGCCAAACTTTCTACTTCGTGTTTCCTAATTATTTTTTTCCAACTTGCAGTATCAATTTAATTATAAAACAGTAATTCAAAAGGTGGTTATTTTTTCTCGACCTATCTCACTTACCTAAAATGTGTTTGCCCATACTACACGCACCCCCATCCCCCCCCCCTCCCAATCAGTGGCGTAGCTAGGATTTTTGGGCCCCTATGCAAAAAGTGTTAGTGGGCCCCTCAGAGGCGTAGCGACCCTTCCCGGCGACCGGGGATTTGCACCCCCCCCCCTCAGACTTTCGATTTGCACCCCCCCCCTCAGACTTTCGATTTGCACCCCTCCCTCAAACTTTCGAAAAAGGGCCCCTATGCCTTGCTTACGCTAGCTTTACGGTCGCTACGCCCCTGCGCCCATTCTCACAAGCGCACCACCCTAAAAAAATTAAAACATCGATCAACTTGTTTCAAGGTCAAGCCCTACAGCTGTTCTTTACCACCCAGATTTGTCATACCTAGAGTTACCTCATCTTTCTAGAAACTTCATTAAGAGTGTCTATAAATAACTTTCAGTACTTCCTGACACGGAGTTAAATAAAGAAATCACGTGACCTCTGTTCTCCAGAAACCGCGACAACCAAGTATCGAAATGAACAAATAAGTAAATAGATCGATTCTCTGAATCGCACGAGCTTGTGTGTTTTTGAACGCAAGAATCGATACTCACAAGGCTTTACATTGAAAATATTTTTTCGAGTATATTGTCCGCGAAGCCTCGTATCAGAAATCAATTAGGTACATTCTTTCACAGTGATTACTACTGGCTGCTGTAGGAATTATATAATCGATCTTTGTTTTCTGGCCTTTGTTTCGGTTGCTGTTTTTTTTTATTGGCTTATCGCTTGGGCAGTTCACTTAATCGTTCTCAAAAAAAAAAAAAAAAAAAAAAAAAAAAGGAAAAACAAAATATGATTGGAAAAGGAGTGTTCACTTGTTGTCGAAGATACGACAGTTGTTAAGTTGAACAAACTATATTTTAAATTTTTTTTTAACTCGAAAAGTCTCACCTTTTAAACTAGGAATTGAATTTTAGCACTTACCTAACACTAGGAATTGGTGGTTTTTAACCAAGGACTACACTAAAATCTGCAGGGAAATATAAATAAATACAGAATAGATCTTCTTTGTAGCAGATAAAGTAGAGTTCATCTCTTTTAAGAAACGAAGGGATGAAACCATCATGGTATAGTGAGAGCTATGCCCCGGCGACTTGACTTGAGTCTGCGCATTGTATGATCATGTAAGATCATATAATTTCGTCTGATGTAGAATTATGAGACGTACTGTGTTATCACAGCAACTCGTTGAGACAAGGTTACAATAAAATACGGTGTACTTTGGCTGGATCCGAAACAGGGACTTCACATCGACACCAAATGGTCTAGACTCTCAACATCCAGTTAGGCGCACTACCACTTTTGACCAGGAGGTCCTTGCCAATAATAGAGCTTTTTAATCAGTTGTATTCATTCACAACGCTAATAGATATTTTAGTGTAAAACAGTTTCTTTCAATAATCTCTTCCGGGGATGGGTGGATACAACGACAAAATTGCACCCCCAACCCACATCCTCCGCGAAGCACCTCTAACGAACGATATTTAGTCCGTCCCCCAGACCCCCCCCCCCCATACAAAAGATTTGTTACATCCCCACCCCCACCTGAACAAAAAAGTCTGAAAGAAACAGTTGTGTAATGACAAACTAGACAATCCCGTCCAATGGACATAAAAACTACTGAAACAAACAAATAACCTCTACCTCATTTCCCATATGGAAACTTATCAGTATTTCTTTCAGACTTTTTTCCAGGGAGTGTGTGTTTGGGGGGGGGGATATGGACACTAAAAGTAAAGTAAAGTTTCCCTTTCAAACTTGACGGTCTATGGGGCAAGTGAAGTAGAGTTCACTTGTTTCTGTGACCTCGGCATACGAAGAGATAGTGTGGTCAGCACTATGCCCAGCCGCTTTTACTTTCCCTAACGTGAGTTAGATACCCATCAGAGTTGGGTGGACTACTGACTTGAACTCGGATTCGAACTCGAGACTAACGGGTTAGCAGTCCAGCTCTATACCGCAAGACCACTCTGTCCCATATTGGACACTAAATTATATATTTTCTATATAAATTCTATTTTGTTCATGGGGGGGGGGGGTCGAAGAGATGCCTGGAGAAAACTCTGATACTTATTCTTTAAATTTATCCGTCCACTATCTTTTCAGCAGTCCATTTCACTTCATCAAATTTTAACACACAGAATGATCTAAGCTAAGGTACGTAATCAACCAGTCCACCAGGCTTTCATAACGCGATGTCGTTGTATTTTTTTTCCCGCCAGAAAATCAATGAAACCACTCACATCGACTGTCGTCTGCCTGAACGCGCCAATCACGTGCTCGCTCTCCCAGCTCATTCAGGCCATGGTGGCAATGTTTTCCCTCAGAAAGCGGTCAAGCGTGTACCGTTACGGTCAGGATAGCTACACCAGTAACGCTGATACTAATTCACTGTGTGACGTCCGACACTGAGTCGTTGAAATACACATGTAATAGTTCAAACAGGTTTTGTGACGGATATAGTTTGAAACAGGTTTTCAAAGTGAGATCTGTTGAAACATATTTTTCGAGTGAAATCATTTGAAACAGGTTTTTCTCAGTGATATCAACATTAACAATAGGTTTTCTGATTGTCAATAGTTCAGACAGGTTTATTTGTATTGTCATCAGTAGTTGAAGTAGATCCTTGAGTTGTGTGTTAGGATAAAATTCAGCGGATGTACAAAGGTCTGGCTACGATGGTCGAGAGCTTCTCCTTGCTGGATGCTGTGTTTAGCCGAAGGTTACTTTCTCTGGCGTGAGTATTTATCATACCCATTAAATAATGGTAAAGTTTAAAAAAAAATAGTTAGTATGAATCATACCCATTAAATGTTGGTACATATCCAGAGGCGTAGCGACCCCTCCCGGCGCCCGGGGACAAACTTTCAATTTGCGCCTCCCCCCCCCCATTATTTTTTATATTTATAATTCAAAATAGCAGCTAAAATGAGCTTATTTTGGCGCCCCTAGGGTCGGCGCCCGGAGACATGTGAACCCCTCCCCCCCCCCCGCCACCGCTACGCCTCTGTACATGTCTTAATTTAATGAAGCAAAGTTATTTTTTTAACCATGTCCATGAATTGCGCTATAACGACATTTAAAAAGAAATAAAAACCAACATAAAGAACTCGTTTTTCATTATTTTGTCTTTGAAGGCATATCCTCGGAGTTGCAAAATACTTGCTCGCCGTGGGGGGGGGGGGGGGGGAATTTCCCGCCCATCTTGTAAGGTATTTATAAAATCGGCTTATATAATTTAGCACAATATAAGGACGCCGACTGTGTTAAACGTGACCACGCCCCTGCACCGTCATTATCTTCACTCGTATTTCATAACACAACAAAGGCCTACAACTAACACACCTGTGTTCAACACACACATCACTACACGGAGAAAAAAAAACATAACTGTCAATATTCGTGTCAAATAGATTCGTGTTGCAGAAGTTATCCGGGCTTAGTTTGGTCACATCACAGCACATTTTAGTCTCTATATACTCTATACTTAATTACTTTATGCCGTACGGTACAAAAACCATTTCGGGCTTAACTGTCAATAGGATAGGTAAGGTAGAGTTCATCTGTTTCAATTACCTCAGTCTATGAAGGAATGGTGTGGTCAGTCTACCCATCCACCTTTACTTTCCCTAAAGTACGTCAGGTACCCTTAAGAGCTGGGTGGACTCGTTGACTTTCTACTGGACTCAAATCTAGGAACTTTCGGGTACAAGGAATCGGCTCTATCCTCCGACCACGCGGTTACATAGATGCACATGATATTCTACGGATGATTCACAATTATGTTATCTCGTATTGTATGCAGCTAGAGTTTAAAGATTTAAAACTGATTAAAGATAAGGAAAGGTCTAGAATTCGTTGTTGGCTTAAAACGAGGTCAGCGTGACCTGGTTTAATTTCATTACTGTGCCGGATGATATAGAAATAGGTCAGAAAAAATATTTTCCTACAATACCACACAAACACTGATTTAACCTAATTAATAACCTTATTACTAGATACATTGGCACTACGGGATTTTTTGTTCTTTTCAGTATAAATTTTTGTTTTAAAATGTCGGTTAAATAATTAACACAACACAATGGATGGTTTTTTTTTATAACACTCTCTACAATATGTATCACGCACTAAGACCGCAGTAGGACCTTGTTGGTACCTAAGTTGGCCCTTCGTAGGACATTCCTACTTACTAACACCTCAGTAGGACCTCACTAAGACCTCACTAGGACCTCACTAAGACCTCAGTAGGACCTCACTAAGACCTCACTAGGACCTAACAAAGACCTCACGAGGACTTCACTAGGACCTCACCTCACTAAGACCTCACTAAGACCCCACAAAACCCCCACTAAGACCCAATTAAGATCTCACTAGGACCTCACTAGGACCTCGCTAGGACCTCACTAGGACCTCACTAGGACCTCACTAAGATCTCACTAAGATCTCACTAAGACCTCACTAAGAGCTCACTAGGACCTCATTAGGACCTCGCTAAGACCTCCCTAAGATCTAACTGTTGGACCGCACAAATCACCTCTCTGCTCTAATTCCCCCCCTCCCCCTTTTCTGCACCTAGGCTATCGATTCGCCTCAGCTGACAAAGATACCTTTGTCACGGTACAGTGAACACGTGCAGCTCATTGTCTGGTGTGTGTGTGTGTGGGGGGGGGGGGGGCTGAGTGGTGGGGTGGGGTAGGGACGCGTGTCCTGGTGAGTATCTGTTTACCGCAAATGACGTTAATGGTGAAATATCAACTACACTATTTCATAAGGTAATGTCAATTTCTTTGAATAAAACGGAAATTAAACTGGATGTTTCGACCACAGGCCTTCGCCACAGTTACTCTTAGTGATTATTTTCTACGAGCCGGCCCGCTGCGTATCATACGCCGCTATTTAGTTGTTTTATTTTCTACTTTTCATTCATTCATAATTTGTGAATTCGACAGTACCAATGCTACCACTGCAAATATTTGCTTTAAAACACTAACCCCCCCCCCCCCAAACCCCTACCCTACACCCCCCCCCCCCCCGTGAATGCAGCCTTCTCTTAGTTACCTCCTGTAAGTTTAAAATCGTTTCAAACTACATTATTTGCCCCTAATAGCCGTCAACAAACCCAGCTCTACTATTTGTAAACATTCAGAGTGAACACCGCTCACCAGGTCATGTGGGGGTGGGGTGGGGGTGGTAGTGATAGTGATAGAGAGGAAGAGAGGGGACTGCAAAGGCGCGCTTGCAGCTTGTTTTCTAACTGATCCTAGAAGAGAATTATATATATAGATTATTCATACATTTGAATAGTTTGTGACTCTTATGAAATTAAAAATATGAAAGTGTAAATGCTAAGATTTAAATCTCAGTATCGCATATGATTACGTGTATGTATGGTAGATGGAGGGCTGGCATGATGTTTATTGATTTCCAATTTGAAAAGTATTTGCCCATAGAAAATACTATCTTTGTCTATATAAATATACACGTACACACAGATACTAAAACAATACCCTCTCGGATCTAGGTCACTTAGGCAGTCTCACACGTGACCGCAACTCACGTGCAACTAAACTCACGTGCTCGCATAAATTTGATATATTGATTCACATATATTGTAACGCACCTATGTTCGGAATTCGGCGTAAACAAATTTAGACTCTACATCTAATAAATTTTCCCTATAAAAACTTTTATGTGTGGTTCTGTGACGTATGAGTTGTTTGAAGTTGTATAGTTCAGTGGTTCTTAACTTGGGTTCAGTCTAAACCCCAGGGGTTAGGTGAGTCCGTCTCTATGGTTCGGCCGAGGTCAAAACACACACCAGACTCGGTGAATGCGCATATGAACCAGTTGGGGTTCGGTACCTCCAAAAAAGTTAAGAACCACTGGTTTAGTGAGCGAAATCCAGTGGACGGGTTTATAGTGTATCTGTGGTATATATGGTATAAAGCCAGAATAATAGAAATAATCTAAAAGAACAGGTATTACGATTATGGTAGTAGAATAAATATGAATATAAAAATATGAATATAGCTTGCTATTGCATACAGAGGCGTAGCGAGGGGGGTGTGGACCGCACCGGGTGACACCATTTAGGGGGGTGACACCAAGGCAAAAAATAGCAAAATATATAGAGAAAAACTTGAGGGGGGGGGGTGCAAATCGAAAGTTTGAGGGGGGGGGGATGCAAATCGAAAGTTCGAGGGGGGGTGCACATCGAAAATGTGTCTCCGGGAAGGGTCGCTACGCCTCTGGGGGTGACACCATTAAGTGCCGCACCGGGTGACACCCAACCTCGCTACGCCACTGATTGTATATACTGCCCCACTCTCTCCCTAGTCCTATCCTTGATATGGTAAACAATTCTGGCCTTAACGACTCTTACAATATTACTCGCAACCTAACACACCTATTTTTGGAAGAGTCTACTATGGTAGCACCAATGCTCGGACAATAGTTTAGGTAGTGTAGGTAGTTTGCTGGTTTGGTAGTTTAGATAGATTAGTTAGTTTGGCTTTGGTAGCTTGGCTTAGGTAGTTTAGTTTAGGCAATTTAGTTTAGGTAATTTAGTTTAGGTAGTTTAGTTTAGGTAGTTTAGTTTAGGTAGTTTAGTTTAGGTAGTTTAGTTTAGGTAATTTAGTTTAGGTAATTTAGTTTAGGTAGTTTAGTTTAGGTAGTTAAGTTTAGGTAGTTTAGTTTAGGTAATTTTGTTTAGGTAATTTAGTTTAGGTAATTTAGTTTAGGTAATTTAGTTTAGGTAATTTTGTTTGGGTAATTTTGTTTAGGTAATTTAGTTTAGGTAGTTTAGGTAGTTTAGTTTGGGTAGTTTGGGTAGTTCAGGTTAAAGAATACTACATAAAACTTGTAAACATGGTAGATGATGTGAACACAATAACACTCGCCACGCCTGGTTGATTACGTGATACACGACTAACTATTCTCTGCCTACATCACCGTTAATCCGGGTCAGGATAAGGTTCAGGATTATAGTTACGTCAAAATTATGATTAGTGCCAAAGTGAGGATTAGTGCTATGTTATGATTACGATAAGGAATTATTGATACTGCTTATTAACGGCATCGCATAGGCTTTTTTTTTTTAAAGAAATAGTTTTCATTTTAAAAATTTGAAAATATTTGTCAGTTACGTCCCACATCAGTTTTCAAATCAATAAGGGAAATAACCTATAGCTTTTTCCCCTTAAGTGTATTACATATGTAGATACATTCAGCAGTAGCAAAATAAATAATACAAATCTGAATTAGTAAAAAAAAGTTTAATATAAGTAATAAAATTGTGCATACCTTTTGGTCTTGCTTTATTTCATGGATATTAGATCTTTTAGTGTGCATTATTTGAATTATTCGCGGGTAAACTTTATCAATTAAAAAATTGTACATATTTTTAAAAAAAAATTTGAATCCGTAATCATATTTAAGCTTTTGCAAAAGAAAGTTATTTACATTTTGAAAAACATCGAAAATATTGAAAACCACAATAACACATAAAGCAATCACACTTAACTTAATTAACACGACTAAACAGAAGACGAAAACAGACTAGTAGCAATAGATCAACCATATGGGAAATAAAAAATAAGATCAGCTTTTATGTTTTTCAAAATTCATAAAAAAACGTTTTAATAACAAGCTTTTATGTAATAATGCATTAAAAAGTAGAAAATAATTATACACTACTATTTAAATAACTATAAAGAAAAAATTTGGGTCACTTTAGTA